GTCTATGAACACATTTTACAGCATATAAAAGGAGCCAGGCATAGTGGTACACGCTTGTAATCCCAGCATTTGGAAAGCTGAGACAGAAGGATCACAGCAGGTTTGAGGCCAGGTTAGGCTCCAGAGTGAGTTCAAGTTGACATTTTTACTAATCTGCATTTATTTATTTATTTATTTATTTATTTTTAAATATTTCCCCCCTATATCAATACATTTTAAACATTATTAGATCAACCTGTATGTGTATTTTGTAAGTCTAGTTTTTTTTATTTAATAGTTTCCTGTGTCATTTACATATGCTGTAAAAACAGTAATTTAATGGCTGCTTAGTAGTCCTTTTTTTTTTTTTTTTAAATTGAGACAGAGCCTTCCTCGCTATGTAGTTCAACTTGAAAACAAAACAAAAAAAGCAAACACAGCACTAAGGTGATGAGAAAGGCTAATTTAGAATAAAATTTCCTGAAGTAATATCTAGGGAAAAAAAATCTGTGTTTGCAGGGGCTGGGGATTTAGCTCAGCGGCATAAGCGCCTGCCTTGCAAGCAGGCAGTCGTGAGTTCGATCCCTGGTACCGATAAAAAGACCAAAAAAAAAAAAAATCTATGTTTGCAATAAGAATAAAGAAAAGCTAAGTGGATCAGGAGTATAGCTCAGTGGTAGTGCACTTGCCTAGCATGTGCAAGGGCCTGGTGTTGTAGATAACTAAGGTAGAGACATTGTGGGCAGTCAAACAGGGCTGGGCCTTGACAGGGCAATGCAGGAGACAGCTCTGACTGGATGCAGATTCACTGAGGACCACTAGAGATGAGCTGTAGTGATTGATATTTGAAATAGACATCAATCACCTTGGGTGGAGGACCAAACCTCCTCAGCCCAGCCCTTCCAGCAAAGGCTTGTCTGTCCCACATGCCCCTTTTGTGTGACCAGTTAGCCATTTGATCCTTGTTTAATCAGTATTATCCTAGCGACCGTACTTGCTGTAATCCTATTGGTTGAGTACACCTCACACCCATCTTATTATTTTCCAATAGATGAATATTACCTAAGTGACTATAATTATAATCTTATTTTGTTTTTGGTACCATGAATCGAACTCATGACCTTGCACTTTCCCGGCAGGTGCTGTGCCACTGAGCTGTATCCCCAGGCCTATCTTATTGATTATAATTCTGTACCACGTTGAACTCACTTGACCTCGTGGCTTTACTTAATAAAATACCTTTGGGAAGTGGGGCTGGTGGACAACCCACTTTTGGGCTCTCTTCTGTCTCTTAGGAGCTGTCTCTCCCTCAATAAATTCTTCCTACTCTTAACCTTCATTATTCCTAGAATTCATTCCTCAATTTTAGAGAACCCGAATTGGGCATTTTGAGTATCTAGCAGGTTGGGAGTTATAGTTCTCCTATGTCACTAGCATCACAGAAGCATGCACACATGCACACACACACACACACACACACACACACACACACACACAGAACACAACACAAGCAAACACTAAAACAGATAATAGATGAAATATACAGACTGGGATGAAAAAGAGGAGCTGGCAGTAAAGTATAATCCCGGGATACGAGAGTAAGTAAGGGACATCTGTAAGACAGCTAAAATGAAGAATTTAAACTAAACTAGTAAAAAGCTGAACGGTGTGGAGAGGACCGTTGAGCTCTCACAAAGTAGGCGTTAGGGCTGAATATAGCTTAGTGACAGAGCGTGTGTTTATCCTGTGAGAGGGCTTGGGTTCAAGGCATAGTTTTGGCTTGTAACAGACATTGACTAACTGATGAATAAACAGGGAAATGTTCAACCTTCCTAATTTAAATATAATGATGAGTACCATCTCTATCTACCAAAATGGGATGATTGTTTTTTCTTTTACACTGCGCAAGTTCAGTGTTGGCCGGCTATGAAAATGCTTAGGATTTAATGCTTTCTTCTAAGACCAAGGCTTCCTTGAAGGCTGGGGGTGTATCCTTTGTTAATTGTAATAAACTTTCTAGTGTCTAACACATGGTAAGTGCTTAATAAATATATATTGCAGAAGTTAGTGAGTGTAGAACAAATCAGAATCCTGCTTAGCCTCTTTCCACACTGATGTAAGCAATGCACTCTTCATAGGTGTATTGCTAAGGTTAAATGATGGCTGAATACCCAGCTCAGTACCTGGCTTAAAGTCCTTAATGATGGTGGCTGCTTTTATCTTTGACTTCCACTAAAGACGCAGCACACCTTTTCCCTTAGTGAGTTTATGGTGATATGATTTAGCCACACACAGGGCACATCGTTTCTTCTGACCCAAACAAGACATGCATGCCCACTTGCTGCTAACAAGATCTTCATTGTTCACCTGGGCGTGGTGGTACAGGTCTATAGATCAAGCTAGTTGGGAGCTGAGGCAGGAGCATCATGAGTCTGAGGCCAGCCTGGGCATTTTATTAAGACACTAATTCAAATAATAAAATGAAAAATGCTAGGGGTGCAGATCAGTGCTAAAGTGTTGTCTAACATGTTCAGGGGCCTGGATGTAATCTCCAGTATGGTGAAAAAAAAAAAACCAAAAAAACCCTTTATTGTCCATCTATAAAACTGGGGGCAATAGCATGTATAATAGTGTCTATCTACTTTGGTAAAACAGACACTAGTGTATCCATTTTGCAAGGATGAAGATTAAACAAAGTAATATGCATACAGAAGATACATACAGTAGTAAATTCAGTTTCCTTTCCCAATCTTTTCTGTTTAATTTTAAAGGAAAAACCCCACTAAAAACAGTGGTGCAAAATTTCAAAATAAGATTGTAGGACAGTAACAATGATTAGTACATTGAATATTGTTATCTTTAAAGTAGTTGCTCATATTACAAGATATAGGCATGAAAAATTGATTAAACAATATAGGTGTAATGAACTAATAGCTATCATATATATATATATATTCCTTTTCCCTTCCTTCTTTTCTCCTTTCCTCCATCCCAGTTTCTCTCTCCTTTTGAACAGTTTCTTGCCATTTCAAAATACCTATTGTAGATTTTGGCTCTTATTTACTTTTCCCACTTTTTACACTAGGAAGACAATGTGATGTGTATACATATGAGCGATCTGTTTCACTTATGACTGTGGTCTCAAATTGTGTTCATTTACCTATCAGACCCTCAAAATTATAGCTTCTTTGGAGATTATAGTTTCTTTTTTTTATTTTTTTTTTAAATTTTTTTTTTTTTGTCTTTTTCTTTTTTTATCGGTACCAGGGATCGAACTCGCGACTGCCTGCTTGCAAGGCAGGCGCTTATGCCGCTGAGCTAAATCCCCAGCCCCGAGATTATAGTTTCTTTATAGCTGAGTAGTACTTCATTGTATGAAAATATCGTATCTTTTTTTATCCATTCTTTGGTTGATGGGCATTTGAGTTGTTTCCAAGATTCAGCTATTATAAATTGTGCTGCTATAAACATAAGTACACATACTTTTACTACTTTAGTACAATGTTTATAATTCTCCTGGGAAAATACCCAGAAGGGGTACAGCTGGATCAGATGGGGTACAGCTGGATCAGATGGGACCTCCAATCCTAGTTTTTTGAGGAATCTCCACACATTCCCACAGTGGTTTTACCAGGCTGCACTTCTGCTAACAATGGAGAAAGATTCCTTTTCCCCACAGCCTCTCTAGCATGTTATTGGTTGATTGGTTGATTTCTTAAAGACAACCATTCTTACTGGGTGATATGGAATCTCAGTGTTATTTTTATTTGCATCTCTCGAATGACCAATGATGTTGAACATTTTTCATGTATTTGTTTGTTCTTTGTGTTTCTTCACCTGAGACGTGTGTGTTCATTGGGGGAAGGGCTTTTTGAGACAAGGTCTTGCTATGCGGTTCAGGCTGGCTTTGAGCTCATTTTGTAGCCCAGACTGCCTCAGCTTCCTGAGTGCTGGGATTACAGGTTTGTACTGCCATGCCTGGCCCTTCAGATGCCCATTTTTGGATTGGGTCTTTGGATTTAAAGTGTCTGATGTTTTTCAGTTCTTTATATACTGTAAATATAAGTCCTTTGCCTAAGGACAGTTGGCTAAAAATTTTTTTCTTTTATCAGTAACAGGGATCGAACTCAGAACTGCGCACTTGCAAGGCAGGCGCTTATGCCACTGAGCTAAATTCCCAGCCCTAAAAATTTTTCTTACTTTGTAGGTTTTTATTCTGTTGATTTCCTTTGATGTGCAAAAGCTTTTTAATAAGATCCCAGTTGTGGATTTTTTGAAGTATTTCCCTTGCTGTTTTTGTTAATGAAGTCTCTGCCTACCTTTATGTCTTCAAGATTTTTACTTCCTTTCTCTTTCAGTACATTTAGTGTTTAATGTTTAGATCTTTAACCCATTTGACTTTAGTTTAGTGCATGGTGATAGACATGGGGCTAATTTTAGTCTTCTACATGTGGGAAGCCAGTTTTTTCCAGTACCATTTATTAAAGAGGCTTTCTTTCAGTGAATGTTTGGTCCTTTTGTGAAAGATAAGGTGGCTGAGTGTGTTTTCAGTTGTGTATGCATCTTCTAATCTGTTCTACTGATCCTCAGGTCTGTTTTTTTTGTCACTTCCATGCTGATTTTATCACAGTGGCTTTGTAGTATAATTCAAGAATTGTGATGCCTCTTGCATTGCCTTTGTTGCCCAGGATTGACTTTGCTAGTCTAGGTTTCTTCTGCTTCCAGATGAATTTTAGGAATGTTGTCTTTGGTTCTGCAAGGTGTGTTAATAGTATTTTGATCAGGATTGCATTAAATCTGTACAATGATTTTTTTTTTTTTTTTGTATCAGGGATCGAGCTCATGACTGTATGTATGCCAAGACACCGCTGAGCTAAACCAGTGACCTGTACAATGATTTTTTCCAATCTCTTTAAAGGGGAATTTATTCACATTCTCTCTTAGACCTACTTCAAAAGTTCACCTGATATAGAATATTTAAACCTTCCCATTTCAGATTCCCCTTTTGTATCATTGTTAACTTGAATTATTTATTTATTGGTATGTAAGCTGTTGTATTTGATGGTTAAGGAGGTAAGTAAGACTTTTCCCTAGCTTTGATGTACTTGATTGAGGTGGTAATATACCATATGTGAAAACTTGAAAAGTAAAACAAAGTGGAGTACATTATATAGAAAGGAAGTATAGAAGTTTCAAGATTACAGTGGTTGATAGTGATTGTTTTGTAGTAAGGCACTAGTCAGTTACTGTCAGCCCGACTTTGGACAAATCACTTATCTCTGTGTTTCATGTTCTCATCTCTAAAATGAGTATAAGAACCCTATTTCAAAAAGTTGCTTAGTGGAGTAAATAACCTAATATGTAATGTAAAAGAAACAAAAAACAAACAAAAGCAAAAAACAAACCACTGTGGACTCGTTGCTATTAGTCTTACGAAAGGCCGGAAAGCCAGCTTTCTGTTTTTTAAAACTTATTTTAAAACCTGCTTCCTCAGATTCTGTACACAATATTCATAAATACATGTTAGGTACTTTAATACTACTGGAAATTTTGTTTCACCTGAGACTTGAAATTCATGCAAATCTGGCCTTGATCTAGTCCTAGAAAAGGATCCCCCCCCCCACCAACAAAGCAAAACAAACAAGAAAATCCTGACACAAGCAAGAGGACCTAATGGATATATGACCTAACAGATCTTCTCTTTAAAAGTCAGGCAAGACCAACAGGAGCTGAGAAAGATGGGGGTCAATGAGTTCAATCCCAAATGAAGTTTTTCATCTATTTTAAGAGCTATTCTAAACTTCCTTAGACAAAAATTTAGCCTTTTAAGGAAGGTGCAGAGAACATGCCTCCGTGGGCTTCCTTTGAGGCAAGAAGGTTTTAGTAGGTGCTGCATTTCACCCTGGAGGTGGCTGCATGAATTTGTGAACTGAGGTGTCAACACTGACTCGCTCCGGAAGAAAAGATGCTATCTCTACACGGGGAGTTTAATTACAATGGCACTACTTGAAACAAGAAGCCGCAACAGCAGCTACACCGCCACCACCAGCCCAGCCCACCTCTGCTGAATATTAAGATTAGAGAAGACAAGAGCCATTTTTCCTGGGGCACCTTTTTCTAATCGCTTCAAATGCCTGCTTTAGAAATTCGGGGAGGAATTACAAGGCAAGAGGGCTGTTGCGGTATTAGCGAGAGGAGAGAGCGGAAGGGGCGGGGTACATGAGCAATAACTTAGATGCAGGTATTAGAAAAATTATGGATAAGGGGGCAGGAATTTACCACTACCTTCAGCATTCGCCTATCAGATCTCTGGGTACCAACCACGTTCCAGTCTTCTACCTTTGACAGATGCAAATCACATCGTCCACCCCCGCACCCCACACTCAGACGCTAGCAGGGTAAGATAAACATCAAGGGAAGAACCTTCAAGTGAATACGAACAGAAACTCTGGCTAGGGCTGCGAGTGGAAGGGAGTAGAGGGGCTCAGGTCTACCCCAAGCTCAGCGAAGGTGAAGAATTAAAGGTCACTGTAGGGTGATAAGCCCCAAAGTTTGGGGTCGAGGCAATGGACTGTCTGCTGGTCCCCTGGGGGTCTGCCCTGCACACAGCCTTCCGCAGTTGGTCTGTCGGTTCGCATCGTGCCTGCAGATTTTCTGACCAGACACTGTCCTCCTGGCGTTTGTCTAGCTCAAAGCCAACCGCGGCGTCGGCTCCATCACCTGCGAGCAAAAAGCAGCTTCGAGATTTGGGGCGAAGAGACGGTTTCCTTTCTTTTAGGGCTGGCGTTCCCGGTGCGGCCGGAACCAGCGGTCAGCACAGTGTTCCCATCGCCTCCTCAAGTGACGTCGCTAAGCCCCGCAGGACTAATCTGGGGCAAAACGGTTAAGCAGCGTCCTTCAGGTGTCAGTCTTGCTGCGTTTGGAAACCACAACCCCCAGCGTCCCTTGTGCCAAGCCAAGCCAGAAATCAGACGCCTCTAGAAGAATGGAACATGCAGCGGGGGAAAACCTAGTCCCCGACAGTTTCTTTACCGGATGTGTTTTAATAACCGAATCCCCAAATGTGTACCACCCTACTAACCACTTTCCAGGCCTCGGAGGCCACAGCTCACGCCGCGCCCGCTCCTCCAGGAGCACTGTGGGAGTTGTAGTCCATTCACTGGGCTGCGCTAAACTACCTTTCCCAGGATGCCCTGCGTCCGGGGGATAGCTACGTTCTATTCCGAGACTCTGTGAAGACCCTTCTCTCCCAGACCCCCTTTCCCGACTCTTTTCTCGCCACCACCTCCTTCCCATTTGTTGCTGCAGAGTGGCAGTAGCGGGGGGGGGTGTCTCGGGGTCAGGCCGCACCGCCCCAAGAGACACTTCCGGCGGCGGTTCACTTCCTGGTTGGGTGGACGGAGCCGGGCGGGAGCGCGCGCGGGGGAGGGGCGGCGGGTCAGTCTCCGCCGGGCGCACGGGGGATCAGCTGGCTGGCGGGCGCCGATCGCGGCCCCGGCTCAGGCTGCAGCGCCGCCTCCTCTCGCGTCGCAGGCCGGCTCGGCGGCCGTGACAATGTTGCGGGGCTAGTAGCTGGGCGCCGGCCGCTGAGCAGTCTCAAGTGGGTGCCGCGGGGATGCTGCCTGGCGGGCGACTGGGGAACTGGGGAGGAGGGGGAGGCAGTGCCCGGCAGGGTCGGCGCTGCCCGGGGCGGCCCGAATCCCTCCTTTCTCTAAGCCCCGGACGCAGGGATCTGGGGTTCTGGGGGCGGGGACGCGTTTTTCAACCTCAGGGTTTTTCTCGCCAGGAAAAATGCATGAAGCGATTCCCCAGAATGATGGCTTTTGCTACCGTTTGGGACTCAGCAGTTGAATTTTTAAGTGTGTTACTGATTCATCCTCTCTCTGCCTCTGTCATCACAGGTTTAAACTTACACGAATCGCTCTCTGGAGGAGGAGGGGACCCGCCGCGCGATTGACACGCATATTCCTATAGGCATCCTCCTCCCTCAGCCCCCACCCCCAAGGCCGGATTCGGGTGGCTCCTCCGCGAGCTGAAATCCGAGAAGAAATCTTTAGATCTGTTTTCTTCAAAAAGGAAAAAAATATCTAGAAATCATCGGCATTTTGCGTTGCTCCTTCTTATTTGCAAGATGAAGAAGTTTTTCGACTCCCGGAGGGAGCAGGGCGGCTCTGGCCTGGGCTCCGGCTCCAGCGGAGGAGGGGGTAGCACCTCCGGCCTGGGCAGTGGCTACATCGGAAGGGTCTTTGGCATCGGGCGACAGCAGGTCACTGTGGACGAGGTGTTGGCAGAAGGTACAGTGGAACTCAGTGCTCCGTAAATTAAAATCTTGTGCTGATGTGGCAAGACTCGTGTCTAGTTGTTCAATCTATGAATGGGCTTTGACCAGTTGACCCACCCTTCCCCCTTCACTTTCCCTGTGAGTCATTGTCCTTGAGAGATTTAAAACTGAGATTGGAAAGTGACAGCATAAAAGGGTGGGGGGAAGTTGTTGAAGTTGTTTACCTCAGTGGCCTTTGATTTTAGAAAAAAAGCATTGAGAAGCCACCGTCTTTACCTAACCGAATTATGCGGATCAAACAGAAAACGGATGTGTGAAAGTGTAAAGCTTTGCATCAAATGCTGAATGGTGGGCTTGTCATCTTCCAAAACTTGAAATATTGATGTGAGGGCTGAAGGATGGGGTGGGGGTTCTTTAAGAAGAAAGATGGGTTTCTCTTACCCAACTTTCCCACTTCGAAAGCAAACATTGAAAGGAAGAAAAGGAACAGGAATGGTTTTTCTGAGTCAGGGTTCTTGGTTTGACTAGGTTTGTTTCCTAGCCCAACTGTAATCAGATCCCTAGAATATAGCTAAGATAACAGAAATGATATGAAATGAATGTGATTATTTTGAATTCAGTCTCATAGGCTCCTCTTCCGCTTGTTTTAGTTTTTATTAAGAATGACTTGAGAGTGGTCCTGATTTTTATTTTTACTTTATTGAAGATCTAATGTGTAAGTGCCCTCTGTGTGTGTTCATTTGTATATCTCTATGTATGTAGAAATATATCTTTATCTCCCAGGCTTTTGGGAAATCTTCGTATGTTTCTTTTGGTAACCTTAACCTCGACCTTCATAATTATGCCAGACTCATACTTTTCACAGCTCATTGCTTGCTTAGTGTGCTTTTATTTTTAATAAAGACAGCAATTTCCTTGGCGTGAAGCAATTCAAACTAATTGGATGGGGCCAACCTGCTGTAGGTTGTATTATAGATTGTGAGGGGTTGGGGAAGGGGGAAGCCTCTATCACTGTAACATGATGGTAAGGAACGTTCTATTAGCTAGGAAAGCGAGGAAAGTGAAGAGGTCCTTTTTGAAAGGAGTCTTTTGAAGCTAAGATTGAAGCAAAGGTCCATACCTGGGCCTAGGAAATGCCTGTCATGGTGAGTGTTGTATGCTGGTGGGTGGGTTGGGAAGAGGAAGAGGTTGTTTGGTTCTCAGCCTGTGTAAGCACAGGATTCAACAGGGCGTAGTTTTTTGGGGGAATAGGTTGGAAGCCAGTACTTGAAAAACATTATTTTTTAAAAAAACTGACAATGACTGTCCTTGTGAAATTATTGCACTTTTTCATTCTCAGTACTACTCTGGCTGGACTTTGGGGCCTGAGTCACTATCCCTCTGGATTTTTCTGTGTGGGCTTTGGTGCAGGATGGGAGATGCTTCTGTGCCCGCTGCCAGATCTCTACCCTTGAGTGTGGTCTGTCTCTTTCATCCCTGTGCCAATGCTCCTGACTGCAGTGGGGTGCAGAAATGAAGTAGTATGTGTGTGAGAGAGACAGATCAGGAGGAATGAGAGGGCACAGAGCTCTTTCCTCCCCTCTCCTGGCCTTGCTGATCTTATAGCCCTGAAGCATTTTGTTCAACTAGGGTGGTGTCTCACCAGGAATAGTGATACCCTCACTGGTACCTGTTCTCTGAGTCTGAGAGGAGTGATGGAGAAGAGAAAAGGCAAAATTGGTGTTTGTTATTTAGGGTGCCCTCCTCTCCCCTGGAATTCATCCCTGAGAACTGTACATCATGCATTATGTTATTTCCAAGTGGAACTCAAGTAAAACTTGCACCTCTGCATTTCTTCATTTATTTATTCATTTAACAAATAGTTATGGAGTGCGTATTATGTGCCAGGCACTGTGTTAGGCTTTGGGCATATGATGTTAAACTAGATGCTAGAGTTTACAAGTTGCTTTAAGGGTTAGAAATGGGTCACTTGTAACAGAGTAATTAGTACCATCTTGGAGATAAGCCTAGTGTGAATTTTATTTTATTTTTTTTATTTAGTTTTTGGGCCCCCAGCTTTAGGAAGCAGAGAATTGTTATCTACAAGAGGGAAAGACTGAGGAGTGAGTAGGAGTTAGCCAAGTAGTGGTTACATGGGGGTAGGTTGAGCAGCAAGAGTGTCATGTAAAGTCAGGTCTGACGATGCTGCCTATTTTCTGTTCTTTGAGTATATATAAGTTTGATTTTGTGGGCTCTGAGGTATGGAAATATGTAAAGATGAATATACAGAGTATTTGTGTAGCACCTATGGGGCCCAAAGATACTTATAAGTTCTGGAAGGGGATAAGAGAGGTATAAAAAATGATCTGTCTTCAAGGAGCTGCTCCTGAGTTTGGGAAAACAAGGCAACATTCCGCATACTGTAGTGTGGTCATCAGCACTCACTATAGACACAGACAGATTTAGGTTCAGGTTCCGGATCTGTTCTTTGCCAGCTGTGACACTAGGGTACATGTTCCAAATGTCTCGAATCTCTGTTTCCCTCTGACAGTGTTCTTAAGAGGGACCCTAGGTCCACAGCATTTTATCATCAGCAACCTCGTTAGTGGTGTAGACCGTAAGGCCTCTATAGATGTGAATGTGGAGCTCTACCAAGTTCTGGAGGAGATTCTGATGTAAACTAAGGTTTGAGAACTGCTACTCTGTAGGGCAGTCTTAAAATTAAATAAGGCAAAATAAAGATGTAACATTTTTCAGGTGCTCCATAAATGGTATCCCTTATTTACCAGAAAAATCTATGCATACATAACATACATAAATTGAGTGAGTGTAATATGAAGAGTAGTTTGACTATAGAAATCAGAAATAATCCCTTTCCCCCATTGTGAGGGGGCTGAGGCAGATGCAGATACATAACCAGCTCCTTAAATGGTCAACAGTGTTTTGGGTAGCCAGGCTTCTTCCATGGTCCCTCTTCTTCAAGTTCCCAAGTTCTGACCTATGCATTAGTCTCAACCAGCATTGTGTAATGGTACTGACTTGTATATTAGATCCTTAGGGCAGTGGCTGGGCAGTTTAGGGAGAGTGGTGTATGGGCTTCCAAACATCAACCTGATTACTACTGTATCCTGATGATTTTTTTCCCTAATGTTATGGATCTGTGCTTCATAATGATGAATTACAGGAACTCTAAGAAATAGATTTCTATGAGCAGCATCTGCATTGGTATTCTGATTTGCTAGCTGGCCCAGGGAAGTTAGTTTATTGGGGAAAAGAAGGCACCGAGTCTTCAGTTAGAGGGACAAGGCTATTTCTGGACTTGGTGCTGGGAAGGATACTTTGCAGCTTGCTTGGTGAAGATGCCATTATGAAGTACCAACTCATGTCTGAGTTAATAGGTGTGTGATGTCAAAGGAAGATTTGGTTAAAGCTTCCAAAAGAGCTCAATGGGGAAAATTGAAGCAACATTTAAAAGGCAACTAGAAGCAATGGTATTGTCATGCTTCTTTAGCTGTATAAAGACTTTTATCTAAGCTTTAAGCAATATATATATATATATATATATATATATATATATACATGTTCAATACCTGCTTTGTCCAAGACAATAGTCCAGAGCCATATCAAGTTTGTGTAAGGTTGACCGGCTGGCTCCTCAGAACAGTTTTCTTATCTGTGCTAAAGGTCCAGAACTGAGACTCCAAATCAGAAAACTTCAGTAATTTCTCCTACCTAGAGTTCAAGGTAGTGGGACTTATAGTTCAAACATCTTGCTATCAGTATGATGCATGTACATATTTGTTTACTGAACATTTATTAACACTTCTTTTGTGTGGCACTGTGTTAGTTTCCAGAGAGATGAAGCTGAAAGGGACATGGACTCAAGGACCGATGGATGAGAAAGAACCCTTAGATAAGTGTCCAGCACTTACCATGTTCCTTGGCATACAGCAACTGTTAGAAGATGTTAGGAGGTAATAAAAGAGGAAGGTCCGGGTGTTTGGGTCCATAGTGAGTAGAGGTGTGGGCAGGAATGGAAATTATCCAGCAGAGGTTTCAGCTGAGAATTACCCAAGCTCTTCCAGCCAGAGGAAATGGCGTGTACAAAGGTGTGGATTGGTGAAACACAATGATGTGTTTCAGGAAAACTGGGTAGTCTAATGTTACTGTTTTGGGTAATACGCATTAGCCCTCCAGAATTAGGGAAAGGACAGGGAGTGACGGAATGGAGTTGCTTTGTACTTGCTCCTGTGTGTGCGTCCCCATGTGATTGCTGCTCCCTCTCCTCGGTGGCCTTAGGCCTTCAGATGAATGATCAAATAGCTCAGAGTGCGGACTGCTGTCCTGCTGTACCTCAGTGCTGTGCTGTTCGTGGGGAAAGGAGCAGCCAGTGTCTGGGTAAGGGGTGTCCCACAAAGGTCATAACAGGCAAGAAGCCACTTGATGCAGAAGCAGGCAGCACGCACGCTGTGGGGTGAGATTAGCAGCGTTACAGAAAGGAATGGACAGGGCACACAGGATATTTGACCGCAGCAGAACGTCTGTTGGTGAGAAAAGGAAGGAAGAAGTTTATGGAGCCCCTTGAGTACCAGGCGGAGAGACTAGTTACAAACACCTGAGGGCTTCTCTTGACGCAGATACCGATTGGATCCTCCCACTTCAGATGCCTCTCCTGCTGGGAAGTCTGGTCTTTCAGAGGCAACTGCAGATTTTCAGGGGGTGGTTTGTGAATGGTGTCTTCTTTCTGACTTCAGGCTTGATGACGCTTATAGCTTTGCTAAATATAGCCAAATCCAGAATTCAGAAGTGAAGTCCAAAATAAGCGATTGCGGTGGTCAAAACCTTTTCTTTCATCTTTCTAACAAAGTGAAACTCATTTAATGAGAAATGATGAAGAGACGGCACCTGGGTTTTGCGGGGGAGACTGTGTGTGTGGGCATAACTTGTATCTTGATGGCTGAAATGGCATGTAGAGTACACAAGAAAGACTTGGTAAATATCCATAAGGCATCCAGAAAAGATCACTGCATCAGA